AGAGAGAAGTTAGAGCATAGCATTGGGCCATTATTATTTCCAATTTCCCACACCTCATTCTTCTTCATATGTTCTCCTCTTCTCCTCCACACCTATAAATTCTTCCTCCATTTTTAACCAAAAAACCCATCTTTTTAATCTCCCACCAGCTGCTCAAAGCGCAGTCGTTTTGGATTGGCAAAATTGGAGAAGAAAAGTTGAGGTTTTTGATGCTTTTTTGTGGAGAAATTAGTGAAGATTATGAGGGAGAGGGGGAGCAGCAGCCATTGTAGAGAGCTTGGGAATGATCACAATGGAGGGTGTGAAGAAGGATCAAATGGGTGCAAATCTTTTGGGGAGAAGTGTAACAATTTGGTGAAGAAACAGAGGACTAAATTCTATATTCTCAGAAGGTGCATTGCAATGCTGGTGTGTTGGAGGGACAGAGGAGAGTCTTGAATTTTTTTTTTCAAACCTCTGATCTCGAGAGATAAGTACATGCTAAATATTACCAGTGAATTATGTTCGGGTGAGCGAGAGGAGTCTTGAATTAAGAAAATAGAAAGAGGGAGAGATTCGTATGTTATATATTATTGTAAGGTTAGTTTTGATGTGTATGATATATTTTAGTGATAGCTTTATGAAAGATTTTATTATTGTTATTGTTTTTGATGATATTGGTTTGTGGTGTTCTTGATTATATATATGGGTTTGGATTGGATTTCTCAAATGGGTTTTTTTTAAATTAATTATTTGAATCCAAAAATGTATGTATATGGCTTTTTATTTGAGTTCCTAGTTTGTGTGTTGATTTCTAATTATCCATTTCTTGTTTTAATTTCATATATCTCTTTTAATTGTCTCCTCAATTTCTTCCATTTGTTTCATCTCTCTCCCATATCTCCTCCATTTCTTTCTTGAGCTTTTCTTCTCTCTCTCTACTCCACTTCTTTCTTTAGTTTCATTTCTCTTGGAATTTCATGTATTCTTAATGATTTTCTAGAGTCCATAAATTATTTGGAATAATATTGTGACGTTGTGTTATGATATATCACCATAAATATGACAAGAAAAATATTGATTTTTTTTTTTTTTTGTATTTCACATGGTCGTCTAACATTACAATGATAAAGTATCTGTCGGGTACCAATTATATAGCGCATTTCACCATCCGTAAAAGAGATATAATATGCTAACAGGACAAATATTACCATTTATTTATGTGTGCAATTAATAAAATAAATGAGGCATGAAATTTGTTGTTGTTATTGAGAAAGTGGAGGATAATAATAATAATAGTTTTTAGCACTCAATATAATTGATTGATTTGGAAAAAAAAAAAAAAAAAGCTTGATGGCAGACATTTTTGCTCCCCCAAACCCATCAGCCCAAGATGGAAAAAGAATGATAAAAAACTCAATGAACTTTTTCATAAATTAAATTTAATGTTGGTAAAAATGCAAACATATGGTTTCACATTAGTTTTCTTTATGAAGTGTTTCACATTAGTAGGCACAAAGGACGATATCATTTCGAGTGAAAATCAAAAGTAAAATCAAATGCGCGTACTAGTGGAGTAAAGAAGGAAGGAGGATCTTTTCTTTGTTGTTAAACAAATTAACAAATTATAAGTTTAGCTTTTGAATTTTCAACGCTGTGTTTAATATAAGTTTCTAAAGTATTGGGTAGGTTTTTGAGCTTTTACATTTTGGGTGTAATAAATTTTAAAGTCTAGGTACCTATCAGGCTAGCTATTAAACAAAAGTTCATAGACCAAACTTGTAATTTATCATTTAAACTTTTTTTTTTAAATTCATTAATCACTCCCTTCAACTTCCACAGTCGAAAGATTAAACATATAAAAATGTTAGCACGTGAAAATTCTCAAACTCATTTTGGTAGATAGTTGTCGGGATCATCTCCAATCTGGGCCTCAGCCTTTGTTTGGTCGGCCTTCACAAATCACCTTCCGCCCGACAGTTTCTTCGAGACAGTCTGCTCTTGCTCAGGTGCCTCAAGTGGTACAGATGGTACTCGTGATGCTAGCGATTCCTACGTAGCCGGTGGAGGAGCTAAAGTTGTAAACTTGATGCTGCTGTTTTGAGACGTCAGATGTTCGTAAAAAAAAGAACTACAAAAATAGATATATTTTTATTAGGAATATTGAACCTCCAAATTCTAAAAAAGAAACACGATACTTCAACTGTTGAACTATACTTATGTTAACCAGTAAAAACTAATTTAAGCGACACAAATATAACTCGTGAGTCAAATAGATAGATACCGTCATAGGTAATAGGGTATTAGGGTTTGGAGTGGTCGCCGACAGCAAGAATCGTTGAGGAGAAAGAGAGGGGGAGTAGTGTGTACGGCTGGCTGCAAAGCTTCTGTTGTTTGGCTTCTCCTGAGACACCCTCTCGTGCGGCCTTCTAAAAAGCACACTTTTTTTTTTCGCTGCTCTCTTTATTTTATTATTCCATATCTTTTTTTGGGGCCCCATTCCTTAAAATCTCTCTTTCAAGCCAAACCCAAAACCCTTCTCCACTTTCTTTTCTTCCTTTTCTAGGAAATTCAAATTTCATTTCATTTTTATCCCTGCATACTTGAATCCACGATCTTTTGAGAAATCGATGCTCAATTTGTAATGGTCCAAGACTCGACGCAACACAAACCGAGACATACGTGTTTTGGGTTTGGCTTGTGCCAAAAGCAAGGGCCAAACGGGTTTGTAGGCCTCTTTGTAAAATTGAAAACATTGGGGGTAAAAGAAAAGAAAGAGGGGGCGAGGGGCAATCTGGTGAATAAAGGGAAGTGGGGGGACCCATCTGTAAGATGGACACGTGCAATCTGCAAACGTTGAAAAAAGAAAAAGGGCCAAAAAATAAAAATATTATTATTTATTTTTTATTTTTGTATAATTGAGAATCAGAGCTACAACTGGTGACAATGTTGTTATACGTACGAACCAGGCATGACCTTTCCTAGTGCCA